ATAGTGAAGGAGGGGGAGCTGGACGGACTTCCCCTTCTTGGTCTTGCCAAACGAAAGATTTACCAGTGAGCGTTAATTCTTCGCCTACCGGTACGAAGAGCAAAAACGGTACGTGACCGGTGACTGGCCTGGCCGTCGTCCGTTGGATCTTTCCGTCTTTTTGAGAATCCAAAAGATCCAATCTTTTCTCAAAACATGCCCCATGGCAGCAACCACAACACCTGCCACCAATTTATTTTAGTAAGCAAGGCACCATGAATAATAGTGATACAGCAGCAGAAGCAGAAGCTCCCAAACATTTCACTCGAACATCCTCGGTGCATCGTCGTCGAACACTCTATTTGGTTCGACACGGCCAAGCTTTGCACAATGTCAAGGAAGCGGAAGCCCAAGAAGCCGCACGACAAATGGCGCTGCAACAACAACCGAGTTGCACGCCCGACGAAATTGCCCAACAAATGGAAGATGCTCGCAAAGCCGTCTTGCAAGATGCCACTCTTTTCGATGCACCGCTCACCGAATTGGGACGTCAACAAGCCAAACAAGCGGGAGAATATTTGGCCGAATTGATTGACCGTGGCGTGGCCCCGCCACCCACCGAGGCCATGGTATCTCCTCTCAGTCGGTGTTTGGAAACGGCCGATATTTTATTGCAACAACATTTGCAACACGAATTTGACATTCCAGATGACGATGAAGATCCTTCCGAACGACTGGATATTAACAATGAAGCAACAAAAGACAACGACAATTCAACAACGGAAGAATCGCCTCGGCGGAGTCAGCGCCGAAGTACCTTGTTGGTTCATATTCGACCGGAAATTCAGGAACGACAAACCCAATATCCACCTGATACTCCCCAAACACCCGATCAACTCTATCATTGGACGCAACAGCAGCAACAAGAGCAACAAGAGCCACAACAACAAGAACAACAATTGGACAACAACACGGACTCGTCGTCGTCGTCGTCAAACAATTATCGCTTTCATCATCATGGCAAGGCATTGACTGGACACGCACTCCAAGTCGAAGAATCTCGGACGCAATTGCGAGAACGAGCCAGCAAACTATTTGATGTATTGATGGAAATGAGTCATCGACATGTACTCATTATTAGTCACAAGGGATATTTGCGAGAAATGGAACGAGGATTATTGGGATTGACGGATTCGCCACTCTTTGACAATGCCGAAGTGAGAGTTTACCATGTGGTCTTTACACGAGGAGATCGAAGTTTGGAATCGGTGGAGCGGTTGGCGTAACCAACTACGTACTTATTAGTTTCCAGAGTTGAGTGTATCATATCATAGTACAAACGTAATAGACATGACGTAGAGAAGCGTTGCGGCTTTCATAAGAAAACCCGCAAAATGGAATTTCGAGTTTAGTTGTCATCCGAGTTTTTGTTTGTTTGTCTGTCACAATGATTAGTAGTTGTTATTTTTGTCTACTGCGCCGAGGGCTTGCTTTTACTTCACTCAGAATGACAGGGGGCACTACTGGCCCCTTGTTCGAGTAGAAGGGTCACGGGCTCGCTAAGGCCCCTAAGGGTGTTCCATTCAATGTTGGTTTCTGTAGGAGTGCACGCTAAGGCCTTCCTTGGAGTGTGGCGCGCTAAGGCCATGTTCTAATGGTGTCGTTTGGTTCTGAGGAGGTGGTTCGAGGGATGGGAGATGGAGAGTCTAGAGTCGTCCCGTGGCACACCATTGATATAATCTTGAATGCCTTCTGTCTTCAGTGATTTGGTGGGCGCATCTAGTTTCTCTATCGCGTATAGTGTGTATCCCTTGGAGCCAGGACTGTTTGTAGGGCTTGGGTTTGGTGAGAAGGGAAATGAGTGAGTGTTTGAAGTAGTTGTGATAACAGGAGGGGAGTCCCCTGGTACCTTTGATATACTCAGTGGCAATTGCTTGGTGTAACAGGTTGAGGGCTAGTTTCTGACGGGGCTTTTGGTCGTCGTGTAGAATCTTGTTCCGATGTTCCCATAAACTCCAGGCCATCATGTGAGTTTTGCGAAGGATTTGGAAGTCCAAGTGGTACCAGTGATGGAGTATCCCTCGCGTTTGTAGAAGGAATCCATATACTGGGCAAAACGAATGGAGGGGAGACCTTCCAAGAAGTTCTTCCATCCGATCTGGTCTTGGGAGACGATAAGTTGAGTAAGGGTGGCATCCCACTGGGGGTTGGGGAGCAATGGGAGGGAATTGGGCCAACTGTTCAGGCGGTCAACCAGTGCTATGTGAAGGTCAAGGGGGGTGTGAAGCTCTCCAAAAGCAGAGGCCAGCTCTAGCAAGTGAGCGCTCCATACTTCATCAGATCCCTCAGCATGACATTGTAGGACATGAGTGGTGTCTTCTGGTGCTCCGCAGCGTGGGCAATGGTCATCGTCCTGTTTTTGTCAGTGTTTGAGGGTAATGCCCACTCCACAGTTCTCAGAGGCGTGTTTGGTACACCACCTGCGCATGCCCAATGGCAGAGTTTTCATTAGCTTTCCGCATACTTCCCAATCGACCAGCTGGAATGTTTCAGGGGACAGTCTTGCAGGGGCAAGGTAGTGGTCGGAAGTCCAGTATTCTTCAATGGCAGGGAGGCAGATTAGGTCTAACAAAGCTTGTCGGTGTGGTGAAGCAAGTTTCCGCTGATTGTGCCAAAGTGACCAACCTTCTCCGCCGATGAGGTGATGGGAGGGAGACCCAAATGGGTTCGCATTGACAATGGCTGTCCAGTACTCTTTGGCTTTGGCTTTGGCGTCCATGCGCACGTTGAGAGCTTCAAGGGGCTCAGTTCGTGGCCTGCGTGGTCATCCATATGCCCGTCGATGTGTTCCGTCTCAAATATTACATTGCTTTGCTGGATGTGCATCCATAGGGCATGGGTCAAGTCAAATGATTGCATGTTGGGGTCTGGGACGAATCCGTTGTCAAACATCAGTAAGGCAGATGAGCTATCGCATCCAACCGTAAACTTCCCATCAGTGATCCCAAAGAGGTCACAGATAAGATTGGTAATGATGACGATCGCAAGTAAGCCAGAGAGTTCACACCGGTAAGAGTCACCGTCATGTAATGGGCCTGGAACAATGTTGACACTAGTAAGTTCCATTGCTGGGTTTGTGCCTACTAGGATAGACGCAGAGGTGCCAATTCGGTTCTTGAGAGAACCGTCACTCACAGCCACACAGGTGCCTTCACGGATGCACTCAGAAAGGTGTTGCCCTCCATCTGAGACTTGGAAATGATCAATAGCCCATTTTAAGTCTGGAGGGAGGTGGGTGATGAGGCTCAGAAGGGTATCAGTGGGATGTGGAGGAGTTGGCGGGAGGTGTATACCAGTGTTCCTAAGTAGTAGTTGGGTGGAGTTGTTCCCTCGAAGAACACTTGCCCTAATGATGTTGGTAGGAGTATCAAGTGCTGTGACCAAGCCGTGCTTGTGATAAGTTGATGGTGATAAGTGATGTGTTTCCCAAAGAGTGGTATTGTTGGCTGTGATGTGGTAGATGTTTGATGATTGTGGGTGAAACCACCATTCCAAAAGCGGGTCCTCCAACCACAAAGTTAGCAGTT